TCCCACTCCCAACAATGTTATGAACTCTTTGATGGCAAGGACATCACAGTTCCTAGAAGAATGCCTGGCCTAGGATAAGCATTCAATAAATAATTGATGATTTGGTTACTTTCTACAGGGAAAAATAAGGGAAAAAAATACATGATAGAGAAAGGAAAGAAAGTGATAACAAACGATAAACTGTGTATGTCTAACTTGATTTTTGATAACAGTTTTAACCTTATCTGTTCTTCAAATATTCAGCTACTTTTAGCTGCTAGAGCTCTGGTATTTAAATATTGTCTTCATAATACGGTATTCCATGTTTAATCATTAAGTGAACTCCTGGATCTTGTCTCTTAATGCAGCTAAACTCTTTTCTTGTCTTCACAAAATACCTTCCTTTTGGGAGCACTGGTGTGATCTTTTCTGTCATAAGCAACAACCTTCCTTTCCGAAGCAGCTTCCTCTCCTGCTGTTGCTCTGAAATAATCTGCGTTTGTGGTTGCTTTCCTCCTTGAAGCACTACCTTTCCTTTATTAGATAATAAACCTTCTGCAATATTATTGACTTTTGTTAATAGCAATATGCTATCAAAGTTTAGATCTATATAACATTTTTGTTACATTAAGAATACAAGATAATGAAAATAAGACTTAGCCATAGAGCAGTATAAATTCACAGAATTACAGTACAAGGATTAATTGATTTTATTAAGCATCCCAGTCTGCTCCATTTTCCAGTGCAAAAATCTATTCCATCTATTTTTAATTAAAACTCCATGCCTCCTGTAATTTTAAACTAATCCTTGAAAATTTGAGACATGAAAAAACGTAAAGGAAAGTGGTTCTTGTTGACAGATGATAGAGAACAATATCTGGACTTTTTGCTTTATTGCCCGCTAATTTCGGAAGTCCGGATTATCCTTCGGTGGCTCTCTGATATTTTGTTTCATCCTCAAATAAGGGGCTGTGCCTCTCTGTAGTGGTGCCTGTAATTTAATTTTGGCTTTAGTACTTCCCCTGTCTCAGATAGATGTAACTGAGGATCGGGTTGAAGGCTGAATAATAGAAATATTGTTCATACTGATGACTTACAAACTAAGATGGCTGGTGCGTGACTTCAAAAGATCTGGACTCCAAATGCCTCCTAGGTCATTGTTCTTAAACATAAACCACAGTTGTGCTGACTCAGTACCTTCTTTCCTGGCCCAGAGTCTAGATTCTAGTACTCTGCATACATGATCTATAGTTTATTTAGCTTTCTTCCACAGCAATTACCTCGAGGTGTCTGTGTTCAGAGGAGGGGAAATGGAGATAATATGAAATTACCATTTTGAAAAAGTAAGTTACTATAAGCTCCTTACAAAGCATAATGTGACAAGTTTCTTAAACACGATGACCTGTGTTTTTCCCATAGGATGATTTTGAGGATTAAATACAACATATTACATTTTTTGTTTAATTTTTATTGGGGTCCAATTTATATGCACAGTATTCGTTCTGATGAGTTTTAACAGTCTGGATACCTGTCTTCGTGAAATTGCCAGAAGAGCCCAATTCCATGATATTGAGACTCAGAAGACCTGGGTTCCAAATGCCTACTGGGTCTGTGGCAGGTGGAGTTGATTCCTTGGCCCTCTTTGCCTTTCAAATTCTAATTCCAGCTGAACTGCTGCTTTCCACTCACCACTTCCAACACAAGGAGAAACTAGCCCATTTTTTGTCTTTCAAATTCAATACATTTGTGAATTCAGCAGTCTTTTTTCTGAAGATTTGTAGTTGGCTGTGGCAAGAAGACTAGCTGTCCACCAGTGTTGTTCTTCCCCTTCCTTGGCGTCGTTTCTGGAAGCAGCTACCCAGCAAGGACATGGTTCCTGGCATGTATTAGTTCTTTTGCAATTCCTCTCCTCTCTCTGACCCTGTGTGCAAATTTAGGGTGGCGATGTCCATATAGCTCTTTAGAGTTCTCCTAGCTTTTGTGCCATTGTCCTCACTGACCCTACCCCAGGTCTGAGAAACTCTTTTCTCCAGAGCAGTAAGAATTTTCTGTGATGATGGAACTGTGTGCTGCCTAGTACTGTGGCCGCTAGTCATATGTGGCTTTGAATCCTTGAAATGCGGTTGGTGTGCCTGATAAACTGGATATGTAGATTTTGTGTTAATAACTTTGAATTTAAATAGGCTCACAGGACTAGTGACAAATACTCTCTCCTTGACCAGACTTTAGTCAGGCTCCTCTAAGCTATCTTCTCAACTAGGCTTTGACTTTGGCATCTGTCCTTGTGAAACTGCCCAGTTTTAGCAAGGATCCTGCCAAGTCAGCGTAAAGAGAATTCCCCACCTTTGATATTTGATCATCCTCAATATCTGGTCGAATTCCCCATCCTCATCTTGATATCTGATCACGCTGGGCTGACTTCAGCAAAAATCCTGTTAGGTCAGTTGAGCCAAAGTCCTCCCTACTCCTGATATCTCCTCTTGGTAATCTTCTGTCTACTGACCTTCACCCTGCTCTTACTGTAAATCCCCACTAGTCCATACTATATTCAGAATGGAGCCCAGTTCTCTACTGAGGTCTCTTTTCTCCTGTGGCAATAGTTCCTGAATAAAATCTGTTTTTATCACATTAACTACTTTGTCCAGCTCTGGTTTTCTGCAACACTAATGTCTAGTGTATTGTAGCTCTAACCCCTGTGATTAAATGCTCAAGAAAGCCTGATTCTCGTTTTCCCTTAATAGTAGGTGAAACTTTTTTTAACCCTGAAAAAAAAAAACCTACTATCCTTAGTATCCATGTACAATTTTTTCTTTTTTCCCAGCAATGGCATACAAACTTAATGTGCAGAAAATAATTTGGAGATTTGGGGTTTTAGCCACAGAAATTCTGATTCCATAAAGCAGGGAAGTGTTTCTCCTGAATGTGACTTTTAAATAAGCATTCAGGTGGTTCTGATGCAGGTGGTCTGTAGACCAACTTTTGAGAAGCACTGTCATAAATATTCGAAACTCCTGGGGTAAAGGTTTGATGCCAGAGGTTATGAATAAAGTTATGAATAAGAATAAGAGGTTATAGAATAGTTTGAAACACAATTTTTGTATTAAACAACGATATAAGAATTTAAGTTTAAGAAAAAGGGAAAACAAAAACTTTTGTGCTAGAACCAACAGTGTTTTGCTAGCTTCTGTTCTCCCAGGCAATGCTCACTCTTCTCCTTTGGGATTCTTGGCTGGGAAAGGACAAAAGGCACTGGGACTCTAAGTTTAAAAAGGAGAAGGAAGCCACGTGAAAGGGTGTTTTGATTCCTCTTTCGTTCTCATCATTCTTTCATTCATTCATTCAGCCACTATTATTGACCACTGACCGTCTTCTGGGCACTGTGCTAAGTGCTAGGAATGCAATGTCACTTTCACGGTGCTTGTTGTTTAGGGTATGAGGAGGCAGGGGATTATGAGCACTTAATATTTTTCAGGCACTCTGTTAAATTATTTCCATGTATTATATCATTTTAATCCCTCCCTACACATACAACAATTATATGGAGGTAGATGCTATTGTTACCCAAATAGAAACACTTTAGGAAAAATTAAAACATTCTGTATAGAAATCTCTAGACTAGGCCACAGTGCGTAAAGAAAGAGAAAAATTCTGACTGGGAGTCATAAAAAGGACAATGAAAAGGGAAGCTTGTAGACCACTTCCTTGTCGGAAGCCTAAAGTCCGTCCTGTTCTTTTTCACAGTGTGGAATCTAGTCACCCTCAGACCTGGGAGCCAGCATCGCTGGCCAGCTGGCTCATGGAAGCTGGGGATGATAGGAGCATTTGGAGAGTCAGAGGACTTCGGTTTCTAGCATTTTAGGTTCAACTCTGAAGCCTTTCTCAGAGAAAATTATTATATGTCAGTCACTCATTTCTATGGGGCTGGAATGCTTCAGATGCTTTATTGAGTTTAATTGATCTGTTAAGAAGTATGTTCCTAATATACATAATGGGAGTAAACCATGTTACCTCTGGAATATGAAGTTAATCTTAGCTCTAAGAAATAAATCAGCCCAAATTGTACATTTAATGAGATCAGTCAACTACAAATACAACTCACAGTGTCAACATGTGAATCTTGAGTAGCCAAGGAGGGTCATTGAACTGGAGTAAAGGAGAATGGCTTTGTTAACATATACAAGCTGTAGTTATTCAAATGTGTTTTATCCTGCCTAAAAAAAGAAGAGGAAAAAAAGACTAACGAAAGAAAAACAGGGGCCAGCCCGGGTGGTGCAGCAGTTAAGTTCGCATGTTCTGCTTTGGTGGCCCAGGGTTCTCCGGTTCGGATCCCAGGTGCGGACATGGCACTGCTTGGCAATCCATGCTGTGGTAGGCGTCCCACACATAAAGTAGAGGAAGATGGGCATGGATGTTAGCTCAGGGCCAGTCAGCAAAAAGAGGAGGATTGGCAGCAGTTAGCTCAGGGCTAATCTTCCTCAAAAAAAAAAAAAAGAAAAGAAAGAAAGAAAAACACATAAAGCAAAAGGAAAGGAAGGATAAAAGAGGGGAAGAAGGAATGAAATGGCAATGGAAGGAGATTGTTCAACTTGGAGAATAGAAAAGGGGAAGAAAAAAGTACTGAGACCCATTGGCAGTGTGTCATCAGCAGTGTATCACAGGCGGTGTATAAGCGATAGAATGTTCTGGCTCCTCTATATACTATCTTGTCCTTATGATCCATGTGATAAGTTAATTCCAACAGCGGCTGTGGATTCACCAGCTTGATGAAGTGTGGAAACCTTCATTTTTAAGATCATCCAGGTTTCTACCTTGGTTCTGACTCCACTCTCATGTGAACCTTGTTTCACCCTGATCTCTTCTGCCAAATGAAATTGTGAATACTAGAATATTTGTGTGTGATAACTACATTTCTCATTGTAAATTATTACATCTGTTGTTTCTGAGTTACTGGTTGTGAATCATCCTCCAGTAGTGACCAATACTGTGTTTACTGAGCCAACACACTAGGGCCAAACTCCAGACTGTGGTGATCTGACCAATGTCCCGCTCCCAGGTGTCCAGTCTGACCACTAGCCTCATCACATTTTCATTATGACCCAGATTTTTGCATCACAGCTTATTATCATTACTGTAGTTATTAACATCATAAAGATGAAAGGTTAACATTGGCTAAGTGCCTACTGTGTACAGGTACAGTGTAATGTGCTTTATCCATGCTCTTATTTGTACTTCAAGCAACCTTGTTAAGTGGTAATCTTCAAAGGATGGCCTTCTAAATTGGAAAGTTGTTTTCATCAGTCAATTTTCAGGATCCGCTTGGAGTCACAAGGACAGAAGAGATGCCTGCCTTGTTAATCTGAACAGCAAGATCAACTCTATCATAATGCGTTGACAGATGTCCCTTCTAGATTTGTCTCACATCTAAGAGGCCAGAATTATTCCCCATTTTATAGAAGAGAAAAATAAGTGTTAAAGTACTAAACTAAACTTGCTCATATTAAAAAATCTAGTTAGTGACAGAGCTGGGATTTTTGCCCAGGTCTGCCTGACAACAGTTTGTGCTTATTTCCTCTGGGATATGTTTACTTCCTAACTTTTAGTAAGCAACGTATTAGTTTTGCATATAACCAACTAACTACTTAACTAACTGGACAAGCATGCATTCCTAAACCGTTAAGTATAGTGAAGTCTGCCTGTGGGAAACTTTGGAGGTCTGCCTTTGGTTGTGAATTCTGAAAATACCACCTGTAACTTAAATATTTGCACATGTAGAAAGTGAGTCATGACTGTGGGAAAATTCTCCCTCATTTATTGTTTGGATTTTATCAACTTAGTATGAAAACTCTTCTGGCTTCCTCAAGGCCTCATCCATCCGCACCCTGGAGAACCTGAAGTTCTTCCTCTACAGATAGAGGGATGAAGTGGCTGAGAGCCTGGAGAGGAACTTGGGATCCTACAGAGAAGTGAGAGTTTGGAAGAATAGAGGACAGAAAAGACAGACTTGACCAGCTAAACAGTATGGCCTAAACAAAGTTATCAACAGACTGGTGGATTCCTGTAAGTAATTAAAGAATAATGTTCAAGAATAGGAAAAGTGGAATCCATATAATGACTGTTTCTGTGCCAAATAGACTACTGATGACAAAATCAGTCTAGGATGGCAGGTCTCTGCCAGATCAGAGGTTTGAACATTTCTTGTAAACCACAAAAATGTCTCCCTGTAATGACGGGATTGCAAACAGTGGTCCCTATGCCAGTCTCCACATTTTTTCATACTTCTGTCTCAGGCTTCTCTTGACTAAAAATCCAAGCCCTGTTGACGCTCAGAAGTCTATTAGTTTTAAGTATTTAAAGAGTCCAGCTGAATCAACAGGTCAGTGAATGGACTCTGAGTGAGGATGGAAGCCCAGGAATTTCCTCATAACCAGCAGTCACTTGAACTCCTCAGTAAAACGTGCCATTGCTGTGATCTCTGAAGGTACCTAGTTGAGCACAATTGTATTGGATGAGAGAACAATGCCCTACAAATAGGTAAGTTGACCTACCTATTGGAGGTTGATGCAAAATTAGAATTTAAATTTCCTGCAACATAGAAATAATTGCGAAGACATTTCTCTCTAAGGCTTGTGTCTTGAACCTAAAGGAATTATGTATTTCACTTGACTGGATCCTTGAGCAATATCAAAACAAAATCAGACAGCATTAAACTTTCAATTAAAATGTTAGAAGCCCTGTGTTTGGCAAGGCTAAATATTTGAACTTTCTCTAACTATCAGGGACTAGTTTGACCAACTCAAGATCAGATAGAAAATGATAAAGAACCTTCTTTTTAGGAGTATGTTCTCTCTATAATAAACTAACCAAGTATATTCCCATGCAGAACCCTATAAGGCTGTCAGCGATGTAAGAAGCTAAGGATAACATCATGCACTGTACTGCCAATCCCTCAGGAAGCAGAAAACATGCACCCACAGAAGTAAAAAGCTATGACTTAAGGGAAAGTCATTTCTTTCTGCTTTAATCTTGATTGAAGTCTGTTTTCATTTTCTGTGAAGATGCTTCGATCTGGCAATGTCACTCTAACACTACACCAATGGGTTATAAATGAGCCAGAATCAAAGAGGAAAAAATTATACAGGAGACTCTCAACTTGTCTGTTCTTCCTGCTTTATAAATAAGCCAGATCACCACTACAAACCTATTAAGGCTGAAATACACTCAAGAAATAATAATCCATCCTTCTGAAGACATTTCTAATAAACAATACAGCAAATCTTACAGATAATAATTAAATCTAGTCATTAGTAGTGGCATCTATGGTGAAAGTGACATATTAAAAATTTTTTTTCCCAAAATGTGAAAGGATCAAGCCAAGAACATAGGAGTCCTTTCTGAAATTACAATTCTCTATTAGATCTTACTTTTAAAAAAGAATTTAAAATTCCTAGTCTTTTCTTAGTACTAAGTTTCTAGCACCGCCTCAAGTTGTATGTGTCCTATGAGGTAGTATACAAATCATATCAATAACTTATAATGATTTCACATTGCTAACCTTCCTGAAAATATGGTGCATTCTACTTCATTCTGAGTTGAAGTTCCATCCAAATTCCTAGCACAAGCAAAATCATACAAGTATATGTTCACTCAATAAGCATTTATTGAGTATCTGCTATATGTTTAGCAGTATACTAGGCATTGGGAATACGCACGAACTCATAGTTTGTGGGAGTAGACAGTCATATAAGCAAGTACAATGGATGCAGAATGTTCTGTACTGTATAAAGTGCAGACCTAAGTGACCTTAACTATTGGAAAGGGTGTCACCTAGAATCTCCCCTAAGCTTCAACAGCCCTTATCATCTCTTATAACCACTGAAAGGAAATCTAACTAAGAAAGAGTTTGCGCTACCCTAAAGAAATCTAAGAAATAAAGAGTTCCTTCTTTTCATCATGTGGCAACAGAATATCCAACTGATGTCTTAAAGATGTGCCAAGAAGGCTGTCTCACCATCACGGAAAAACGTGAGCTCCGTCTTCTTTTACCCACTGGTAAGTCCCCTCCATTCTTTCAGGTCTCCTTCCTATCATTAGTCATTCTTCCTATTTTTATAAACGTTGATCCAGAGAACTCGTTGAGATGACACAAGAGCAATACATCTCAGATCTCCTCTCTGGGAACATTATCTGGTAAGGATACAGAATAAAGACAGAACAGGACACTGACCTCTTTTTGCCAAGTCGAGATACTAAGCCCTTGCAGTCGGTGGAGTCCATGTCAAAATAAGATCCCCTTTCCTCTCTGATCATAGATCTGGCTGTCTCACCCATCCATCCACCCTGCTTTGCAGTAAGGCTCTGTTGCAGGTACATCTGCCTTTTTACTGAAGTAAGATGGAGGGTCAGCTTTTGAGATTTAGGAGCGGCATAAGGGTGATGGGAAATAGCTGTCTCAGTTGACCAGGAGTGTATATAGGTAATTCTCAGAGCCCATTGAGATTTGTGGTCATAAATTTAAAGTATTCACGATTCGGTCCTTCCAAATTGGCCCTAGTATTCTTTGCAAATACCTGGATTTTTCCGCCAGCTTTGTCATTCTTCAATTCCTGTCACACATCATGAGAAAGGTGGGAACATTTGGGAAGCTAGCTTTCTCTTGTGCTCATATATCTGTGTAATATCATAAAGGAGTTAGTCTGTAGCCCTCAGCAAGCCGTTTTTACTTTTGCAAAATGCTTCATCTGTTAAATACAAGTAATAGTTCCTGCTATGCCATCTCACTATCATTCATGGATCTTATAATCTTTTATTCTGTACTTACTGTATTCCAGGTACTATGTCAGGACACAATGAGAAATCCATTAGGCACATGAAGAAATAATAAAATGTGCCATATGCCACACACGCCAGCGCTGTGGAAGCACATTGCTATGATTGGGAGACTTCCAAATTCAAATTATATTTGTCTTGAAAGTTAAGTAGGTAATATTTGAGTTGAGTCTTAAAGGAAGAATAGGATTCCATCAGTGGAGAAGGGATCAATATAAACAAAGGCATGGAAATCAAATATTGTATTCAGATGATAGCAAATAATTGAGTATAATTGAATACCTGGGTGAGGGCAGGCGAAGTCAGGAAGTAAAAGATGAGGCTACAAATGGAGGTTGAAAATTGAATGCCTTACTTTGCATGGTGATAGTTTATTACATATAGTATAATAGAAGGATTATATTACATATATTGCTTATACATACATATATTTATATAATATATGAATCTATGATTTAGGAAATTTTATTTTATTTTATTTTTTAATATTTCAGTCTCTTTATTCTAGTCCAACTCTTTTTTTTTTTTTTTGAGGAAGCTTAGCCCTGAGCTAACTGCTGCCAATCCTCCTCTTTTTGCTGAGGAAGACTGGCCCTGAGCTATCATCTGTGCCCATCTTCCTCTACTTCCTATGAGGGACGCCTGCCACAGCATGGCGTGCCAAGCAGTGCCATGTCCCCACCTGGGATCTGAACTGGTGAACCCTGGGCCACCAAGAAGCTGAACGTGTGGACTTAACCACTTTGCCACCGGGCCGGCCCCTAGGAAATTTTAAATATTTTGAAAAGTTAAACTCAAAATGTTTGGAAAATATTCAAACTTTCTAAAAAAGATGCATTCCATTATTTTGCATTTTGGGAAGATATATGACATTGCAAAAGATGGATTAAAGGAGAAAAATAAGCAACAGGGATAGTAATAAGAAGGTTATCCCAATAGAATTGCTGTGAGGATACAGAGGGACACTGGGTGTGTTTTTTAAGTGTAAATCATCATTATTACTAGACCTTAGCATTCTGGATTTTATGCAATGGTCAATGATTTTTTTTTAAAAAACAGTGTTTTCAAAGATGAAGATTAAATGGAAACATATTTGATTACTGCTCATGCTCAAGAGAGTCTGTGGATGCTCCCTCATTCAACCCTATTCTCCATAAATTGTTTCTTAGGCTCGCCAAAGTATTTCTGAGGATAATGGCATTTCTGACTTTTGACAATTCATGAAGAAATCAAAACAGTTAAAAAGAATGTTGAAGTACATGTATATGCAAAGGCTAGATGAGTACATATATAAATTATAATAGTTGTGTTAGGGTAGAAGGGCTAAAAATTAAATCTCACTTTCTCTTTCCAAGTGTTAGTCTCTGAGCCTCAGTTTCCCCTTCTGTCAGAGGAGGCTACCAGTAACACCTTGCTCATAGTGTTGATGAGAAATAACTGGGTTAATATTTTGAAAGCATTAAAAGAGTGTCTGTGGAAGTGCTCCATAAATATTTGACAAAGTATGATGTAATGTTTCGGCAACAGTGTTATAAATATGTCTGAATATATGAAAATAAATATCCTAAACTCCCTCTTTTATGGATGTCATTAATTTTATTTCACTATCTTTGACTAAAAAAACAACTCTATCATGGTTATCTCTTGGGGGACAAACAGGGAAACTGGACAAAGGGGTAACTGGATGAGAAGGATATTTCTCACTGTAACTTTTGTGTACATGTCTGTGTTTTTATATATATTTCATTTTTGAACATCACTGCAATAACTATTCAAAGAAGTAAAAGTAATAGAAGAAGTAGTGCTTAGCATTTATTGAGCTTCTAACATTGAGTCATATGTGGAATTAGGCACTTTATGTGTATCTTTTTATACTTAATTTTTTACTTAATTTTTATACTTAATTATTGCAAGTTATCTATCTATCTATCTAGATTGATCTCTCTCTCTAGAGAGAGAGAGTGTGTGGAGCGGAGGAAGAGTTGGGAGAGAAAGTGATGAGAATGTGAAACTAATTGTCCTCAACAGAAGGGTGGGTTCCAGAGAGAGTGGATGGAAAAGATCCTGCGGAGAGGGCTTCAGGGAAGAGATGAAAACCTAGTGAAGAATGGATTATGTGTGTGTTTAGATGGGTCTTGAGACAGATTTGTAGAGTTTCTTGACACTTGTAGTGTCACGAGTACAGCAGAATGGTTTCCATTCTGACATGAGCAGCGAGGTCCTGGGCTTCGGGGGCGGGGGCTTATGGACAGGGTGAAGGATGGATGACTTGGTGTAACCTGTGGAGAATGATGTAGCAATATTATGTGTCTCAGTGAATACCACTGTGGACAGCCATTATTGAGCACTTGATCCCTACTACAATCCCATTGCTTTGGTGCTCTGTAAACCCAGAACTTAAGCACATCTTGGGGAAAGGAGGGGAAGAAACTCCAAGGTGACTGAGAGTAAGTTTCTGCCATCCAGATAGAATGAAGCACAAAATAGAAATTGTTCAATTATAGACAATTATAGAAAATAAACATATTCCTTGTGCGTTTGAGTTGTGGACTGAGATTCATCTCTGCTACATATGTTCAATGATCTTTAGATTAATAATTTAACCATGTAATACTACTCTTTAACACCATTTGAATCAAGAAATTATGGGTTTACACACATTGGACATTTTTATTTGGAAAGATTCCTTTGTCATCTAATGCTTCATTTTACAGGGAGGAATCTAAAATCCAAAGAGAAAATATACTTTCCCAAGATCACTTAGAAAATTTGTATATAAAATATTTTCAAATTATTTTAGGTGAAGTAAGCTTTCCCTTGCCTATAAACAGCTCCTTTGTCTACCCTCAGATGCTTGAAATTCCAGTTTTTTATAAGAATACGTGGATGGGTAAAAGAAGTCTAAAAGAAATACAAATCTAACCAATTGTTTTCCATAGGTTTATGAATATTCCAACAGAAAGGGAAGCCAGAGAAAAGAGAAAATCATTTAATTAAACATTAATTTCATTTGCTGTCAGCACCAAATATGAGTATCAGTGGTTTTAGCCACAACAGAATTATCAACATATTTAACCAGACAGGATTTTTTTGAGATTAAATAAACATGAAGGAAAGAAAGCCATAAAATATTTATGAATGGTGAGAATAAAAGTCAGTATCCTAGAGTTTCAGAGGTGATAAAAACAATGTTTCCAGGAGTAGTCAGAGCAGGCTTCATAGAGACAATGGGGTTTTACCCAGGCTTAGAGAGATATTGGTCTGAATGGGCCTAGAGAGTAGGAACAGGCAGTCCGGGTAAGAAAAATGATTGCAGGAGGAAATAGAGCCTGTTGTGAAAACAGAGAGGATACTTATCATTCACCAGGAAGCTACCCCATGAACATTTACTGAGTGTTGTATTCATTTTATTCTTTCAGGTTGCAAGCAAGAGACATACCCAGACAATCTCCTGTAATGGGGTTTGTTTTATTTTAAGCATTTGTTTTTCTCTAGAATTCCCCTGGGGACCCTGTTTTCTCTCTACATATTTCTGTTATCTTCGTCTCTGCTTTCCTGGGTCTCTCTCTCTCCACCCTCTGCCATCCTGGAAGGTGGAGGTGAGGGGCAGCAGAGAGAGGAATAAAATATTGGTGAACACATTTTTTCTTTTGACCTTGAGGTGTTCACAGTTTCCTAAGAAGGAAAGATGAAGAAAACCCACTATGATACATTCTATAATGGAAGACAGCAGAGAGTGCTATGGGTTCAACAAGAAGGGCCCATTGTTCAGTCTGGGGAGTTCAGGAGGGACCCATGAGTTCATGGGTAGATTTCTGGAGAACATATCTATGAGCCAAGTCTTAAGTATGGGCCAGCAAGGTCAAGATTTGTAAGACTGCAGGCAGAGGAAAGATTATGGACAACAGCATGCATGGTTCATCGTGATATGCATTAGAGAACTGTAGCAATCTGCTATTTCTAGATTATAAAGTGAAAGAAGTAGCAACCAGGTAATAATTGGGCTTGTGTGCCCTGCAATGGATTTGTACTTGTCTTACAGGCAATGTGTTGCCATTGGAAGGTTTTAAGCACCAGAGCATAGAATTGCATTTCAAAGTATTATATTTTTGTGTGGATGGAGGATGAGTATCAGAAAGGAAAAGATGAAGAGTTGAGTAATGTAAAACATGCTATGTAATATTTCTTAATTCTGTGGACTTTATGCTACTTTCCCTTGTTTAGCCTGTGTCCTGGAATCATCTCCCAGTGCTACGTTGCATTAGGCAAGATGGTAAAAAAAATATTGTCAGAGAAGGGAGAGCAGGATAGAGATATGGGGCAGAGAAAATCTCTTTTCTCTTGACCCCTGGGTGTTGCACTGCAGAGTGGACCAGCTATCTTTCAGTGATGGCTTTAGGGTGTCAGATCTTTTTGTCATCATGATACTCCCATCCCTGAAGAAAGCTACAGTCAGCACCCCTACATTATTGAAAAGGATGAGCTTCCTGTGCAACTAGTGCAAAATGCACAATTTAGTTTCATTTGTGTGCAATAGAATTTATCATCACAGAATACGAAAGTCAGCAATACCACATAGATCTCAATGCCAAAATCTTGTCATAATCTGCAATTGATAACATACAAATATCAAATGATCATCCCAGGAAAATTTTATCAAAATTCCTGTTAGACTTGTTGAATTGAATGGTAGCATTTTAGAGGGACAAAAGTAACTATAATAGGCATATGCTGATGAAAGAGCCATTAGCAAATCCTTGAAGGGTTTGTGAAACCTCAAATTTCCTCAGCACTATTTCTCACCTTATGTGGCACAACTTTTGAGGTCGTTGAACTTGTTTGGTTTGCAAATTAGGAGGATGTAAGGACAGGTCATTCATTAAAATAACTCCAAAATGAGTTTGCCAGATTTTATTAAATTTTATTCTTCATGGTAAAAATATTATAAAAATCAGTTGTAAAATCAGTACATACAAGAATCGGTATAGTTATATTTTGATATATTGTGATCCTGACACGATAGATGTCAGGATAACGCAGCCAAAATAAACTTGTTAATGAGAAAAAAAGAATAGCAATGGATGGTTTTTTTTACTTGGGTTAGGATGAATTTACTGGCTAACATTTTGGATAACTTTGGATAACTCTGGAACATTCCATTCAACTTGGTTTTCACTGGCTGCTTAATATAGTTCAGTGAATGCCGTAGGCTTTCCAATATCACTAGACAAAAATGAAGAAATGGATTGTCTAACTACTAGTTCAGACAGACATACGGAGGGCAGTCAGTAATGCTGATTCAAGATACAGATTTTAATCCCTCTAAACAGGATCTTAATGCGCATTCCTCATGGTTGCATGTTAGAATGTTCTTTTTCTTTTTTGT